ACATGTTGTGTAGTACTGTGCTATATATATATATAGAGTGAAGGTCTGAGAGAGAGTATGTGTGTGGGTACTTTATTATACTGATCGCCTTTTGTTTTAATTATTATAGTAATTTACCATTCCTTTTGTTATTATCAATAAACATAAGTTTTTATTTTAAAAATCATACTTTTGTCTGAAGAGTTTTATAAGGGAATGGTTGGTGGCAGTGTGAATAAAGTGAGGGTGTGAGAGTGACGTGGCAGCTCCTTTGTGACGTGAGAGGAGGCTGTCACAGTTGGTATTTTAGTCAATTGTGTAGAATGCTGATTTTTCTTATCAGGATCGGAAAGGTATAATGAAAATTAGGATGAGATAAAAGGATAAGTGAAAGCTATGTTGGATAGTATCAATGGAACTCTGAATGATAAGGATAATGAGCACCAGCATCTCTCACAAACTTTGTGAGGGCTAAACAAAACATTACAGGTCACTTATTACTTCCTTGCTGAAAACTTTTCATACTTCTCATTTGCAGATGAGCTGACTTAGTTTTCTGATTGGTATTTTGAATGTAAACATGGACTTCATTTGCAAGCATGCACACAACTGTTGGTCAGAATCCTGTTTCTGAAACATAACAGGTTTCAGCTTTTAATGATAGGGTAACATATATCTGGCAGAAACTGCTCCTGTAACTTTCATGATTCTTCAGTTTTCCCATGAGAGGGTCTTCTCGGTGGCTGCTCCCAGGCTTTGGAATGCTCTGCCCCAAGAAGCAAAATTGGCCCCCTTCCCTCTTGTCCTTCTGTCATCAAGCAAGGAATATCTGTTTCAGACAGGTTTTTAAGCAGTAAGAGTCTAGGGAATGCTCTCCCTATATTTTAAAATTTATATAATCTCAAATGTTTATACATATTTTTTTCAAAATTGTTTTTAATTTTGACTAATGTTTAATTGTTTTTAATATATAGTTTTGTATGGCATTTTAAATTTGTTATTATTGTATGATTTTAATTGTAGTGAGCTGCCTTGGGTTCCTTATGGGAAGAAAGGCAGCATATAAATAAATGAAATAAGTAAGTAAGTAAGCAAATTTTTACATCCAAAATGTGAATCACACAACAAAGCCTGTCAATGAGTACTAGAAATATGAACTATGATTTTGCATTCTAAAACTGCAAGATTTTTGTGCCATAGTCCTAAACATTCAGATTTCTAAATGCAGTGGATGAAATCCTGTTGTGAAGTTACACAAAAGGTGTAAATTTTACTTGCAAATTGTCATAATTTGAGAAGTCTCTGTAAGCAGTATCTGTTGTGTAACAAAGCTGCACAACTTGTCATGCAACAGATAATGCTTACATAGATTTCTTAACTTATGGCAATTTGCTGCTAAACTTTACGCGTTTTGCATAACTGTGCAACAGGATTTCAGCCATTGATTATTAGAGTAGTTCATGGCCCAAACCTACACTTAGTTGTACTACTGAGGACATGCTTAAGATGGAGGCATCCTGATTATTGCTTCACTCCAATGTCACTAGGTGTATGTCCCATTGATGTCGGTAGAAAACAGCCCACCTTCTCACAGGGATGCCAGTTATAGTAATTGATTAGGAAAGTGTTAGTTCATAAAAGATGGTGCTATCATTGGTTTCTCTCTTGGGAAAGAAAAGGGTTTCTCGACTCAACTGAGATCATCATTGGCTCCAAAGGATAAGCTTTGCAAAATCAGTGCTTCAGGGTCATAGTATTCAATTCTCCAGCCTCACGCCCAGTAACTAGATTTTATAGTGCAGTTTTTCTACTAGTACTGGCAACTGGCCCTTGATTTGTAAAATCAAATTGTCTAGCTTTAAAAAAAAAAACTTAATTGACAAGCATAAATGTCAGAGACAGTGGCATTGTGCCCGTGCTGCACCAAGCGTGTTCTATGAAAGGAGGGAGATTAACTTAAAATGGTTAGAGCAGATCCGGTATATCCAGACAGCTGCCGAGGTCCTGAAGCACTGGATAAACTCAGCTAAGCCACAAACATGGTTGTGTGTATGTGTGTCCACCTGTTTCATGTGCATTGATCTTAGTAGTATTTCATAGCATCTTTCAAATTAGCAAAGCTTCTTGCTTTGACCTGAAAAGTGAGATAAATAATACATGACACTGTTCGTTCAGCTGGCTCTTTCAGCCCTGTGCAGTGTAAGACTAGCTATGTTTTCTTGAGAATGGCTTTTGTTTTTTGTACCCTGTGCAGTGTAAGACTAGCTACGTACGTTTTCTTGAGAATGGCTTTTGTTTTTTGTTTTTTCCTTTGGATCAGGGGTTACTCTAGTTGGGGGAATCAAGTAAAAACCCTGGAAAACATGTGTAAGGCTTTTGGCACACTCTGAGTTAAATGTATGTTAACTGGATTTGAATTAGTGAATTTATTTAACCTTGCAGCATAATGAGCCGCCAAGGGGATTGCTCCACTTAACAGCAGCCTTCAATACTTTGCAGCCATTTGCTGCTTGTAATTTCTCAGCAATTACAAAGAATCTGTGTACTGTAGTCTTAACAAATTCCAAGCCAAGACTTTGCTAAAGGTAGGCATTTCCATCTCCGGTTTCCACTGTCGTTTATAATGCATGTTTGCATGGAGCACTTAATTTTCTCATTTAAATTTTTTGGCACAGTGTCTACTGTCCCTTCCCCCCATCCCTTATTGTTGGTGGGGCTGCTCCCTTTCTCTCCAATCGGCCTTCTTCTTGTGCCTTTAACAATAACCTGATGTGTAGAAAGCTAGGGTATAAAGTTCCTCACATCACTTGATTCTCGGCCAGGAACAGCTTCACCTAAGAGGCAGACTGTTCTTAAAGGGACTGGCTACCAAGAGAGAGCAGTGCGGAAAAAGTGGCAATAGCAACTTTCAGGCTAAAACATGTCTTTTTATTGGAAAAGCAGTTTTTGTCATCAAGATCATCATTACCACGTGGCTGGCAGTTTGGCAGCTGTTACTTTAGTGTGGCAAGAGCAGAGATAGTCCTTCCACAAGGCTTATGAAGAAGACAAGGACTGGTAAAGTAGGAACAGGAGTTTAGGAGAGGGAGAGCAAATGGGCTGCAAAGATGCTTAATGGCGCAAATGGGCATATTTGTAACCTTACATATTAAAATGTCCAAATTTTAAGGTTTTCCAAAATTAACCACTGTACTGTGACACATTATAGAATGAAGGTTTGATGTGCTCCAGGACTGAAATTTTAAGATTTTTAGACAGATTTGAACTTGAGGGAAAGGGAAGAATCGCCATGTATTATCCAAACACAACAGAAAACCACTAGAAGATATTCCCCCATTTTTAAAATGTCTCTTCCCCCCACCACCACCTCCGCTGATGGCAAAAGAGCAAAAGAAATGATGATTTTGGGGAGAGAATTAATAGGATCTTAATGAGCCTTACTCCCAGTGCATTGTTCGCTTCACACTTGACAGCAGCTTTGTGGATCAGAGTGTAGAATGAGTCAACTCCGTACCAGGGGCTTTAATGTTACACACACATTTTTTTTTTAAACTGAAAGATCGTAATGTTTCCTCATTATTAAAATAACCACAGAATTAACTTTTCCCTCCAGGGAGAAACAGATGGCAGTTTGATGGCCTCATTTTTCCTTTCTTTCCTTTTTAATAAGATTAATGTTCTGTACTGACGGAGGCAGTCTATTATGCATTCTTCATGCTCTCTCTGTAACTGGAGCAGTAATAAGGGAAAACAGAAACCTGCTTCTGTGTCAACTTTAATCTCTTGAAAGGTATTAGTTGCTTCAGGTACATCAAGTGATCCTGCCAAGGCCTGTGCTTTGTAGTGATGGAGTTGTCTGGTGTCTTTCTGTGGAGTTTTTTTTGCAGCTGGATCAAACTAGTCTAATTTGATGATGAGAGAATGCAATGCCTTGGGGACTGGAAGGGAAACTCAGATAAGGTTCTGAATTGTTGGCACTTAGTTGTTCCTTGGGATCCCCTCACTGTGTCATAACAGAGAGAAGAGGGCACCCTGCCTTGGGTTCAAAAGCACTCTCATCTCTTTCTACCCTATAGAGATAGATGTACTACATGGGAGATTAAGATCAAAGTTTGGGTCATTCACATGCCAATCCAGATCTTTCACAATAACATTCCACCCATTTCATAGGTCTCTGAATCTTTGCTCTGAGGTTCACACATAAACGTTTTATATCCATTTTCACCTGCTCCTTGTATGATGACAGTATCATGGACCTGTAGCTCTGCAATCCACCGGAGAGGTTGGATCTATATGCATTCCCTTCCCTTGCCAGATCTGAGGATTGGGCCCATTGAAACCTGTAGGGGAAGGGGGAGGAATAAGGTAAGGGTCACTGGATAACTCTCTGGGAATAAGAGAGTTAGATGCATAATTGCTATAGATGAGTGACTGATACATATCATGAGAAAATAATCATTGTATTAAGTCATAACTGGTAATAAATGGTGTTTATTTACTTTGATCCTTTAAAAAGTGGTTATTGCTTAATTAAGCAAATTATTGTGGATTAATTGTACATATTTTAATCAATTAGATTAATGCTTTAAATCTGTATTTATTTGCATATCAGAAATTTTAAAAGAACACAATTCTATTTTTAGATTATATAGTTTGCTGGAGTTAGAAAGGGCATTCCTTCCTCTGTGACAGAGAATACCGCTTCTATAATGACATTTGTCAGCTATAGATTTTAGAAATACTTGTATTATTTTTAAAGCCAGATGCTTATTTAAATCTTAACTACTGTAACTGCTCAAACACCCATACCCAATCTGTAGCCTCACGGCTTTTACAAACATCAAAGATGTTGTGCAACAACATACAGCACCACAAGAGCATGAAAATGAGATGATGGAGTAACACAACTAGGAGAACCTCCCTACCCATTGAATGCATACGTTATGAACTGAATGCATTCAATATGAATTCATTCATATTGAATGAATGTACAGTGAGCTATGTATCGTCTTTGTTTCCAGCAGTCAGCATCTCTGAACATTGTGGGCTTTTCAAATGCTGTAGAAATGGATTTGTCTTCAGCAAGGATATCCAAGTCAGCTGATCTACAGGCAAAAGAAATCTCCACTGTGACATCTGAACAATCCCAGAGTATGCCATCTAATACCAATGGGACTCTTGAAGTTGTGCCTGGTTACAGCTGGACTTTGGATGGAACTACAAATGATATAAATCCTGATCCAACTGACCATGTGACAACTAGTGGCATACCCCTGGGGAACACAGTGTGCAAGGTGAGAAATATTGATTTTCCAGGCTGTTTTGCTGGTTGGAGACATTCTTAGAGTAGTTATTTCTATTTATGTTGTGATGCACCATATTTGGAATGTCTCCACCATAATCATATTTTGTTCTATCTTTCTGCCCTTGTGCTGACTCAAGACAGGTTGTGATTTTTTAAAAAATCCTACAAATAATTAAAAACATGCTAATTAAAACTTTTCAACTATACAATGCATTAAAAAAACAACTATAAAACAGATTTTAAAATCTTACTAAATCTCCTTGTCAGGTTGTCTGCTGACTCTACAAAAGCCTTTTTAAAGAGGTAGGTTTCAAATGTCAGTGGAAGGAAAGGAGGGAAGGGGCCAGCTGAACCTGCTGAGTTGAAAGATCTAGGAGCAGCCACAAAAAAGACCTCTTTAGAGCCCTCACTGAAGTGGTAAGACCAATATAAGGCACTTCCCTACTGATCTTAAAGGTCATGGAAGCCTTTCTAAGAAGATACAGTCTTTCATACACTACACAAATGTTTTATGAAGTGCACCTATTTATGCACTTAAGGAAATTCCATGCATATATTGCCATGCTTTTGTACAAGTTCAAATAATTTCAGTGTCCAGAAGGAATTATAATGTACAGTATAATAATCTTAAAACTCCAGAGTTGGAAGGGCCCCTCTGAATCATTGAGTCCAGCCCCTGTCAAGGAGGCACAGAAGGGAATCTAATTCCCAGCCTCTGGCTCCATAGCCAGATACTTAAAGAACTGAACTATCCCGCAGTCTTCTTCACAGGTTATATTTTGAGCAGTTAAACCGAGGGCTAAACACACCTCAGAAAATTACGTTTCTACGAGTCCTCCCTTAATTAGCAAAAAGGTGTAATTGTAAAAACACATTAAGAGGAGAAGACGTATGTCTGTACATTGTCACTACAATGCAAGCAATGGCTACCTTTACATGTCTAATTCCTTGAATTAAGCATATCAAAAGTGATCACATTGCTGGGAAGAAAACAACATCAGAACAGGCAAGATCTATGTCTCTGATTGTGTGTTTTGACCCTAAATTTTCCATATTATTTACAACTTCCAATGAAACTGTGTGAGTGTATATGTGTGTGTGAATGAGTTTTAAATAATTATTTTGGATATGGCATGTGGAGTTTCAAAATGTTCCACTTAATAATACTGAAATACTTCTTGGAATCACAGCCTCTCTCTCTCTCTCTCTCTCTCTCTCTCTCTCTCTCTCTCTCTCTCTCTCTCTCTCTCTCTCTCTCTGTGTGTGTGTGTGTGTGTGTGTGTGTCAGAATGCAAGTAGGGCTCCGAATCAGAACAATTTACAACATTGCCATTCTGCTGTTGTTCCATTCCACCAAGCTGCCTCTGACCCAAGGAGACTCTGTGAATGAGTGACAACCAGTGTATATATGATCATCAGTAGCCCTGCTTCATTCTTGCAAACTCAAGGCTCCAGCACTAATTAATTATTAAATAAAATTGTTCAAATGTTTACTTTATCTATTCATTTCCTGTTTGGTCTTCTTCCCCTCCTGCTATTTTCAACATTATTGCATCATTGTCTTTTCCAGGAAGTCTTATATGACAGTCTCAGGGTACAATTAGATGAGGACATGAAGACCACACGTGATAGCACAGAAAAGGATCACTGCCAGTGTGTGATCTTAATAGGGATCCTTCTTTTAAAGTGACCCAGCCTCACCTGCACCAGCCTGCTCCACAAAAAGAGCAGTCCTGCCCCTTGACCAAAAAAGATTCAGACAAGGGAAGGCGTATTCGCGAAGGCTTTCACGACCGGGATCTAATGGTTGTTGTGAGTTTTTCGGGCTCTTTGGCCGTGTTCTGAAGGTCACGGTTTTTACAATTATCACAACAAAAACATGCTGATCACCCTATCTCCTTAAAAAAAGACAAAAGCTGGTCCCACAGCTATAAATACTCAACTATCCAACAACAGCAAGAGAGCATGGACAGAGTTCCTACTCCAGTCCTCTGAAGATGCCGGCCACAGAGACCGGTGAAACGTCAGGAAGAACAACCTTCAGGAAACAGCCTGAGAGCCTGAAAAACCCACAAGGGAAGGAGTAGGTGATTCAAAATCTGGAGCACATCATCTGGTTGTTGCCAAACAGAGAACTAAGCACTCCAGCATGAGATCTAAAATTCCTTACAATTGCAGCCTCAGCTTCATCAATTTTGCTTGAAAAGAGAATTCCAACTTGACTTGATCTAGGGTGCTCTTGTTTGTCTTTCCGGCAGTCCATGTCATCTTCAAGGCTGTTCTCCAGCACCATGTTTTGTTTTTTACAAACTGTGTCATTTTGCTCTTCTATTATGATTATTTGTTGAGATTGGTATTTTAAAGAAATATATATATATTTTCAATATCTTGTTTAAAATCACCAGCTGGAAAGTGATGACTTTGGCTCTGCAAGATACCCTCTTCGAAGAAACTCTGCTAGTCCTGATCCAAAAGGCATGAATGAATTACCTCTTCCTATGCACAATATTCTGGAAGAACCTATTAACCTTTCAGTGAAGAAGACTCAGCCATGTGTACCCCATCCCATACTTATCAGCAACACTGCCTCCATGCAGTCAGTTAATTCAGAACCAAGACATACGGAAGGTACCTGTTTTTATTTGATCTTACTTGGGCTTTTCAAATAATCTAACATTGTCTTAGGATAGCTGTGTTAGACTATGGCAGCAAAAATAGGTGGTTTACAACAAAACAAAAGGCAAAACAATAAACCAAACATTAAACCTTGAAACATCGATATTAGTATAGATTTAATTAATTAATTATAAAAGCAGCCTTTACTCAGAGTAGGTTAACTAATATTTTATTAATTTTTTCTCTCTTGTAGATTATTGTAGTTGTGAAGAGGAGCATGTTGAAATGGAAATTAAAAGTAATCAGGACAACAGGTAATTAAGTTTTATGAAACTCTGAAATTTAAGACACAGTCTGTGGAAAAGAATCTTTTTTCTTCCCTCCTCAGAAAGGAACAGAAAGCACAAATATTAGTGAAATCACTCAGACAAATTGAAATTATCTTAAGTCAAATAAGTATTGGGAACAACAATTAACAGTCATAAAATTTATTTAATGCCACAGTTCTTAATGCATTTGTGGGCTGTAAGACTGTATTTTCTTTCCAATTTAAACACCAGCATATCTCCCTGTGATCCTGAAATAGTACATATTTTATGAGATAGAGCTGGTGCAACAGTTTTTGTACATCTAATTTTAAATTACAGTTAAAAGAGAAACAATTTCATGGACACCAGCTCACTTAATCAGGTTGTTGATCTTTAATTTGCTGTAAGACTCTTATTTTTCTTTCAGAAGACTGACACAGTTACACCCCCCACACACTAATTTTAAGTACTTCCATACTGATATGATACAAAAAGAAAACATGTAATTCCTGTGTTACAGCAGCTCAACTGGCTGTAGATCCATTTCCGGACACAATTCAAAGTGCTAGTTTTAACTTATAAAGCCCTAAATGGCTTGGGTCCAAGATATCAAAAAGACCATATCTCCCTTTATACTTGGGTATTGGCCTTTCTCTCGGTTCCACCACCCTCACAGGGACATTTGGTGGAGGCATGGGAGAGGATCTTCTCTATTGCTTTTCCCAGACTAGAATTCCCTCCCATGGGAGGGCAGGACTCCATCTTTGCAATCCTTCCACAAGCAGATAAAGACCTTTCTCTTCAGGCAGGCTTTCCTAATGACTGGTTAACCAAGGGGATTTTTTAAAAAGGGATTATTTTATTCTGCAGTTTTGCTTGTGTGTTTTAAATTGCTCTTATAATGAGTTTTAATGTATCTGTTTAATGTTTTTTTTAAGATATAATAATTTATTATTTAACTTGGTTTATTTTAATACTGTATGCCACCCTGGATCCTTAGGAGAAAGGCGGCATATAAATCTTTGAAATAAAATAAATGAACTAAATATATAATGCACTAGAATAAAACTAGAAGTTTCCAGCTTTTTACCACATTTAGTGAGAAGTCAAAAATGGGAAGTGACTTGTTACAAATAACTATTTCTTTGTAATTAATTTCTTTTTCTTCAGTAATGTAGCTATAACTAAATTATACAATTGCAGATTAACCAGGCACTTTTTAGTTACATTTGTAGCTCCAAGAATGCAGTCTCGCAGGCTAGAGGTAGAGTATGCCATAGTTTAAATGAAGCATCATGTTTTTGCCTCATGTTGAGGCAACAAAGGAGGAATAGGACTAAAGTGTGCCTTTATGACAGGCCAGTAGCTTGTAGCAGTCAGATGTTTTTAAAGTGACTGGAAGTTTTTATTCTGAAGAAATTGGAAAGTAAAGAGCATTATTTTAAAAATGTGCAACTATAATGGCAAATGATCACTTTTGGGGGCCATCAGAATTATATTCAGAGCTTGGAAAAGCTATTTCTTTGGACTACAGTTCCTAGAATCACCCAGCCAGCAAGCCCACTACCATCAGTGACCAGTGGGAGGTCAACATGGGGAGAGCCTTCTGTGCAGCAACATGCCTGCTGCCTCCTTCTATGTGTGATAGGTTTGTTGGTTCTAAATGATGAGGTATGTTGGATAAACTGAACATGCTCCCTTCAGCCCTTCTTCAGGGCAGACTTAAGGGAATCCCATGCCAAGCAAGACGCTGTCTTCGTGAAAAAGGATCCCCTGAATTTCTTGTGCATACACTTTAACACTGCCCATTTTATGAACAAATCAGGAATAACCTAATCCACCCTCCGCTGAACAAGTTCCAAGGCCACTCTTCCGGTTGGTTAGTACAATACTACTTATCAGACCAAAACCCTTATAACCACAGCACAGGTAGCGAAGTTTTTCCTACCTGCAATGTGTAAGAAGGTGGAGTTTGTCCTGGTTACCTAATCCCTCAATGTACCTATCTCTCTGTAGTTCCTCTCATTATTGTACTGTACTGTATACCTTTTTTCTGTATGGGTCATATGACTGCAATAATTTATTTAAAAATAAATTAACTATGAGGTTTGAAGTTTTGTTCCTGAAATGTTGGGACAATTAATAACAACTTATTAAAGCATTTTGATTAGCCATGTAAAAAGGCATCCTAGCCTGTCAACATATATGCTCCTAATAAAAGCAAAATTCTGAAAAGCACAGATAAAGTCTATCTAACTTTTAATGTTCATTTTAGAGTTCATGCCAAAGATGCCAAAATCCCATATGTGCGACTGGAAAGACTCAAGATATGCACATCAGAGTCAGGAGAGCTTCCAGTATTTAAACTGCAGCCCCAGAAGAACCAACATGATGGGACTTTCCTTTTGATAATTGAATGCGGTACTCAGTCTTCAACCATGTCTATTAAGGTAATCCCAACTGGCTTGTTTATGGTTTGTTTTTCTTTTCATTCTGTACTCAGAATGTATAACCAAGCTAGCTGATGACCTTGACTTCACTGTTTTTAGGGCCAAACAACACATGACAGCAAGATTGTTTTGAAAACTTTGGTTCTCTTGAAGTTTTAATAGAGGGGGCAAGGGAATGTTTTGGTCCCATGAATGGGTGGGGCTTGGGAGATCTGAGTTTTAGTCCCCACTGACTAATGAAATTTACTAGTTGGATTTGAACCAATTACTCTTTCTGAGCTTGACCTCCATCACAGGGTGTTAGATTCCAGTGGACGAAAGTTGGGATCTAAAGGTAGCAAAAAAACCAAACCAAACCAAACCAAAAATGAACAGATCAGATTAGATCCCTATAGTTCTGTGTGGAAAAGTTCAGCACAGAGACTGCATGCTGTCCCACTGAGATATTTTGGAAACCATCTAGGCTTCCCCAAGCCTCCCCCATGCCACTCTATCATTCAAAAATAGGGAAAGAAAATAAAAGAAAGAAAAAGAGAAGAAATTGCTATTTTTACTGCTGGAGGCTTCCAGAAGAAGTAGTTTTCACTCTAGGAGAATATGGCTATGTGTCCCTCCTTTCACCTCCAAAATCAAAACTGCTGAGTATTTCTGGCCTTATGTGGTATGGTCTGTGCTGCTTTGTTGGGGGGCAAACATCTGGCCCACAGACCTGGCAATGTTGCTCAGTTCTAACAAGGTACTGTAGATGTTTTCACTTTAAAAGAAGTAATACCAATGACTTCAATTGAAGAATACCCATGGGTTGGATCCTGAGTTCCAGGAACAGAATTCCGAGAACTGGATACTTTTGTGGGCAGTAGAGGAGGCAAGGTTTGCTGATCCCACCCATTAATTTCCCCCTATTCCTCTAAAATCTGCTCTAGAGCATTGAGGGGAGGTGGTGTCAAGGGAAGAAAGAACTGGCAGAAATTGCCAATACACCCCGTTTCTCCAGGGTGAAATCTGCACTGGATTCTGGGTCCTTCCACAAATGGAAGGAGCCCTTGTGATCCCAGCCAGGATATATTGTTTGAGGTTCTTAAAGTTAGTTAATTGTCTTTTCAGAGGCAGGCAGCATTCTTCTAGCTGTGAATTCAAAATAGAAGGAAAGGCCATTAAAAAAAACTCATATCTATCTGGTATGGGGCTCTGATGTTTTGAAGGGCATGCCGCCATTCAAGCTTCAAAATCTTAGCTTCACTAATTAGTTGGTTAATCTATCAATTAAACCAATTAAAGCTTCGGGCATAATTTTTAATGACTGTAACTGGGGACAGTGCAAATATATCTGGAACCTCAGTATGCTTCCTGACTCCAAGGCTGTATCATTTGAGGGAATTACCATCAATAGGAATCTTTAGTCCCAAGCTGCTTGCCATGAGGAATTTATTCAGAAGCATTTCAGCTTCTGCAGTATTTCAGGTGTTGTCAGTGGAAATTAAAGGTTTCTTAATTTAGATTTTATTTTTATTCCAAGGTCAATCAAGGAAATCCACCTGAAAGAATGAATCAGAAGCCCAACTCTGAAAATCTGGAAGAAAGAAGTATCCCCACAAACCAAGTAACTGAGCAAGTGTCACTTCCTTCTGTAGATCAGAGGCTCAGTAGTAGTAGTAGTAGTAATATGAAGAAATCATTGCTCACTCAGAAAGAAAAATTACCTATCGAGAATGAGGACTTCTGTGCTGTGTGTCTGAATGGAGGAGAGCTCTTGTGCTGTGACTACTGCCCGAAGGTGTTTCATCTCTCGTGCCACGTTCCAGCTTTGCTCAGCTTTCCTGTGTGAGTACCTATGGAGCGGGGAATAATCTGTTGCATTTTGTTCCATCCACCTCCTCAAGGTCATGATATGTGGTTGTCAGTGGTCCTTTTCAGGCTGAGTGCTTATCTGTAGGAATAGTCCTGCTAGCAGATTATCAGAGTGATCAATAGACCCCATTGGGTTGTTGTTTTTTTAAATGGTGCATTTTATTCTGTATTTTACTTGTGTTTTTAATATTGCTCTTAGTATGAGTTTTAATATAGTTGTTTAATGCTTTTAAAATATTGTAATCATTTACTATTTGGGTTTTAACTGTGTTTCTTTTAAATATTGTAAGCCATATTGGATATTTCGGGAGGAAGGCAGCATATAAATAGCTTAAATCAATCAATCAATTAATTAATTTATCTGGAAGCTGGGGAAAAACAGATGGTGGCAGGTATATAGAAACCACCATTTTATTGGTGACTTTAAGCCCATTTTCCTTCTAGGAGAGGCTTCACCTCAGGAAGAAATTGCAGAATTACATTATGAAGAAGGAGATAGTGCAGGGGTCCCCAACCTTTTTCACCCTGCGGACCGGCTGGGGAAGGCATGCACAAATGGCGGTGCAGCACTCATGCGGGTGCTCGTGCACGCATGTGCTCATGTGGATGTGTGAACGGTGGCACCATTTGCACCTGCGTGTGCGCACCCGCACAAGCACCACATCACCATTCACACATGCGCATGAGCGCGTGCGAAGGGGCAAACAGGCTTTGCGGGATTGAGTTTGTGCGGGGGGGTGGGGCGGGAGGTCTGTCTTTGTTGCCTGGTCTGGTTCAGGCCATGGACCGGCACTGGGCCTCAGACCGGGGGTTGGGGACCTCTGAGATCGTGCAAGCAAGAGGAGGATAGACTTGTTCTAAAATTCAGACTGGTACCTATGAAATTTTCTCCCCCCAAAGCCAATGACATTATTTTAGTGCAGTGTCAATGTCTGAAGTTCCCTAATGATTAAATAATTGATCCAAAATCCTAACATTGAACAAACATTTGCTGTCCTTCTGCAAGCAGGCAAAGGCCTTTCTCTTCAGGCAAGCCTCTCCTCAGTAACTAGCTACCTGTGCTTGGTTTTCAGATGGATTGCTATACATTACCACTTTGACTGTGTTTTCAATACTACTTGTGTTTTCTGTTTTTGTATTTTCCATTTCTCAGATTAGTTTTTTAAAAGAAAAATTGTATACTTATTGTTCTTACTTTAATACTGACTTTTAATGATGTAAGACACCTCTTTATACGCATTGTCATCAACTTTAAATATTGTCTGTCAGTGTTGTAAGCCACCTTGGGTTCTTTTCAAGGAGGCAAGCAGGGTAAAAATATTTTAAATAGGTAAATAAAGAGTGGAAGTGGCATTGAACTGATTCAGATTGCTAATCTTTACAGGTAAGATGTATCCCGTACAAACCTCTTTTATTTGCTTTCATGCTTCATAATTTATGAAATCTCTGATTTAGGTGAGGATTTCCTGAATCCGTAGAGAGTTAGAACTCTACATTCCCTTCCGTCCTTAGTCTTCTTTTAATCTGTGATTCTCATTTAGTGTATGGCCAGGCCAATTAATTGTGGTATGCAGTTGAACTTTGCTTTAATTACAATGTGTATTTTGCAGTTTTTATGGTTTCACACCATATGTTATACAAGCAGTAAAAATTAAATTTACTATTATTATTCCTTTTACAGTGGTGCCTCGACTTACAACCATAATCCGTTCCAGAAGATGGGTGTAACTCGAAATGGTTGTAAGTCGAAGCACCATTTCCCTTAAGAATACTGTACATTGAAACCCCACTAATCCGTTCCGGCTGGAAACATTTTTTTTTTAAAAAATTAATAATAAAACACTGCAAGCCCCATAGGACCTTTTTAAAAAAATAATAATAAAACACTGCAATCCCCATAGGAACATGCTGGGGCCAAAAAAAAAAACAAATACACCAAAGCAAACAAACAAACAAAAACACAGCCAGCTACAGCATAATGCCATGGGGTTGGGGGGAAAAGAAAACCCCACCACCACACACAGCCATCCCCAGTGGAACGCAATGGGGCTACGAAAAAACACACAACCCCCCCCCACACACACACAGCCAGCCGGAACGCCATGGGGCTAGGAAAAAACACACAACCCCCCCCACACACACAGCCAGCCCCAGTGGAACGCCATGGGGCTGAGGAAAAAAGACAAAAAACCCCACATACAGCCAGCCCGAACGCAATGGGGCTTGGAAAAACACACACCAAAACACAAAAAACATCACAGCACAGAAACATAACCACCCCCAAACCCAAACCTACCCTGAAAAACAAAGTAAATGTACTTACTCAGGAGCAGCAAGCAGCACCAAGCAGTCCGAGCCTCCTCCAATCACACTCACTCTAACCATTGGGGCGAAAGAGCTACAAAGAAGCAGCCTCTTCGCCTACCAACGGTTAGCAAATTTGAATTCCCCGCTGTAACAGCCACCCTCAAACCTAAAAGAGTAGTTGCTACTTTACTTTAAAAACTCTGCTGCCACCAACTTATCCTTAAAAAAAAATCATAAAAGGACAAGTATACCTTTTTAAAACAAAAACTGGTTTATTGATCACAAAAAAATAAAATTGGTAAATCACTGGTGAAGAATCAGTTAATCAATCACTGTTAATAAACTCTGGCTCACACAGACTATTTCTCCACTGACAGGCTCACTCACTCACTCACTCTAACTACTAATCACTTTAAACTCTCAGCTCAAACTCTCATCTCCAATCTCCCCTCACACACTCTTCACCCCCCTTTTTATACTAGCTCCTCCCCTTAAGTTCCACCCTCCATCACACCATAGGCTGATGACTCACTGCCCAGCTGTGATGGACATGTGATGTTATGTCTGTCCGTTACCCCCCCTTTTTTCCTGCCTTTTTCCTGTCGCAACTCGAAGCTACAGCCACAAGTTGAAGCAAAATTTTGCGTCCGGAGCTGGTTGCAACTCGAAATGGTTGTGAGTTGGGACATTCATAAGTCGAGGCACTACTGTATTGCTAATAAGAATGCAATGCAGCATGAAGTTCTTACTAATGCTGAGGGTGAGAACTTGAAGTTTCAGAATAATGTTTAGGTTTTGTTTTTGTGAATTATTTTGTCTTAAGCATATTATTGAGCATATTAATTCCTAAAAAGCATGTTAATTCCTGAAGAACATGGTCCAGCTGAACTTCTGGCGCATTCATGACCATGGCCTTGGTCTGCCTGTAGCAACTGGTAAAAGAGAATTCTTCCCCAAGATGGATCAAAATCCTATTGCTTAGCATAGTAAATCATCCTAGAGTAGTATTTATCAAGACATCTGATGTTTATGTTTTGTGTCATCGATGCAAGCATCTGCAGCAATAATCTGATGATGTGTTGTTTTTCCTGTTATTCAGAGGTGAATGGGTGTGCACACTTTGCCGCAATGTGGAGAAGCCGGAGGTAGAATATGACTGTGAAAATACACGTTTCAACTACAGTAACAAACTCATGACAGGAAGAGGACTTTATGGCCTTGAGGATTGTGACCAGAAGGTAAGTGCTAATTTTTTGTTATTGTTTAGTCGATAAGTCATGTCCGACTCTTCGTGACCCCATGGACCAGAGCATGCCAGGCCCTCTTGTCTTCCACTGCCTCCCGGAGTTTGCTCAAATTCATGTTAGTAACAATTCTTCCCCAAGATGGATCAAAATCCTATTGCTTAGCATAGTAAATCATCCTAGAGTAGTATTTATCAAGACATCTGATGTTTATGTTTTGTGTCATCGATGCAAGCATCTGCAGCAATAATCTGATGATGTGTTGTTTTTCCTGTTATTCAGAGGTGAATGGGTGTGCACACTTTGCCGCAATGTGGAGAAGCCGGAGGTAGAATATGACTGTGAAAATACACGTTTCAACTACAGTAACAAACTCATGACAGGAAGAGGACTTTATGGCCTTGAGGATTGTGACCAGAAGGTAAGTGCTAATTTTTTGTTATTGTTTAGTCGATAAGTCATGTCCGACACTTCGTGACCCCATGGACCAGAGCATGCCAGGCCCTCTTGTCTTCCACTGCCTCCCGGAGTTTGCTCAAATTCATGTTAGTAGCTTCGGTGACACTGTCCAACCATCTCGTCCTCTGTCATCCCCTTCTCCTCTTGCCTTCACATTTTCCCAATGTCAGGGTCTTTTCTAGGGAGTCTTCTCTTCTCATCAGATGGCCAAAGTATTGGAGCCTCAGCTTTAGGATCTGTTCTTCCAGTGAGTACTCAGGGTTGATTTCCTTCAGAATTGATAGGTTTGATCTCCTTGCAGTCCAGGGGACTCTCAAGTCTTCTCCAGCACCACAATTCAAAAGCATCAATTCTTCGGCAGCCAGCCTTCTTTATGGTCCAGCTCTCACTTCCATACATCGCTACTGGAAACACCATAGTTTTGACTATGTGGACCTTTGTCAGCAAGGTCATGTCTCTGCTTTTTAAGACATCACCTTGTCGGCAAGGTGATGTCTAGGTTTGTCATTGCTTTCCTCCCGAGAAGCAGGTTTCTTTTAATTTCGTGGCTGTTGTCACAATCTGCAGTGATCATGGAGCCCAAGAAAGTCAAATCTGTCACTGCCTCCATATGTTCCACTTCTATTTGCTGGGAGGTGATGGGGCCAATGGCCATGATTGTAGTTTTTTTGAAGTTGAGCTTCAGACCATTTTTGTGCTCTCCTCTTCCAAAACATTTTTTCCTCCAAAGTCTGGGCAGGAAAGGAATTCCTTCATACTTCAGGGGCCATAAGCTATGACTTTCAAAAATCCCATGCCTGTTTCCTACTTCTTGAAATGTATGTCAGAAGCAAGTGGCAGCAAGGTACTGTGTATGATGCACTGCTGTTACAGACTTTTACGCTGTATTTTAATGGGATGTAGGCATCCTTCAGTCTTGAGAGACTATGGTAATGTGCTCTGAATAGAGGTCTTGGAACAGCATCTAGTGTGGCTGAGAAGGCCAATTTGAGAGTGACAATCTCTTCCACACTGAAGACAAATACAATCTGTCCCCTGTCCAGCTCCCTGATTTTGCTGGTTT